AAATATCTTTGCTTCTAAGAACCACTCTGCTACACTTCTTCCAAAACAAAGTTTTTTTGAACTGTCAGAATTAGTGAGACTAGCTCAGGACTAGCTCATAACTGCTGTACATAGATAGGGTCGCTATGCATAGCAGGTGACTCAACCAATAACATGCTATGACAGGTCTGGAAGCAGGAGTAGCATCCACTTCCTAAACAACTTGTCTCCGGAAACTTGAACTTTGATAAATGTTGATAGTTGTTAGAGGGGTTTCAGATCTTTTGTTCATAGGGTTGCTATGAGTCATGCTCCACTCAAAGGCAATCAACACCACCACAAAAGGAAATTACCAATAATAAGATACCAATTAATGAAAAAATATATCACCACGGCATATTTGTAACTCAAAACAAATTAAAGGCATCAATTCTTCAGTCTTCTTTATCACTGTCCAACTTTCACATGCATGTAAAGCAAATGAAAACACTATGGCTTTGGTCAGGCACACCTTAGTCCTAAAACTTTAAAGAAATCCCTGGCAACACATTTCTCCAATTCAATACATCATTTGATCTCCTATTTTGATCCATCATTTGATCTTATTTGATTTGCTGCTTCTACCCTATATAGCAGTCCTACCATTCCTATAGACCAATTCCCTATGCAAAAGCAGCTGAAGAAAGCAGCAATCACAGTCAGGTGTGCATCAAGATAGAGCTAAATCCTGTGGTTTGGGGTTTTTTTCTCAAGAGATGCTAGAAATCTAGAATTTTTTTTTTTTTTTTTTTGCTAGCCAGGTATGGCTTCACTAGAAATCTAGAATTCTTACGTGATTAATCTACCTATTGTTAATGGTAACAATTAACTAAGTTCCACATCCCCTAAGAGTAATATATATTTGTGGGCTTAATTCAGCCCAACAACTCCCTGTTAGTACTGCCTCACTTTTAAAAATATATATATATGAGAAAGAGAACCAGGGAACAAAACTCCTTTACCACCAATCATCATTCCTAGGAAAGAGATAAAGAATGAGATCTACACTAACTATATCTGTAAAATTAAAATGATAAAAAAGTAATGATAAACTCCTTAATTTAGCATTTTCTTTCTCTTAAAAAAGAAATCTGTTTTCACTTTTAGGTACTGACTCTTCTCATAGCAGAAAAAAATATGAGTAATTTCTTACCATTTCCCCCCCTTAAGATCCAGTAAAAGCAAAATTTTCAAGTAAATTTTTTTTAGTGTTAACTAATGGAAAGGATCAGTAGCAAATATAAGATTAATCTCTCTGGTAGCTTAGTGTTAAGAAGTTGCACTGCTACCCTAAAGGCACGTGGTTCAAATTCAGCAACTACTCCTAACGAGAATGGATGAGTAATTTCTTCCCATGCAGATTACTGCCTCTGAAAACCCACTGGAGAATCAGCTATAGTCGGTCTGATCCAAAAGTACATAAGACAACATGTGCATTTTATGTTGCTGGAGAAGAGTACTGAACATTCCATGGGACGAATTTACAAATATGTCTTGGAGGAAGTACAACCATGGTGCTCTTTAAAATCAAGGACAGTGAAACCTGGTCTCACATACTTTGAGTATATTGTCAAGAGGGGCTAGTCCTTGGAAAAAGAAATCATGCTCAGAGGTTAGAGATGGGTGGAGAGTTAGAGACAAAGGCCCTCAGCAAGATGGATTGACAAAGTAACTTTAACAATGGGCTTGACAAATACTGAATAATGCCACTGTTATAAAACAGGACTGACAGAGGTTGAGGGGAAACTAAGAAAAGAGGGGATAAATAATGTTTGAAACAGATGAGGAAGAGAACTGTATAAAAGGAATATATGATTAGGTATTACTGGTATGACAAGAGTCCAGAATAAGAGCTGCATAGTAAGTGGTCTGTGGGCGGGGGTGGGCGGAGAATGACTGTCTAACAATGAAAAGACTTTTTTTCCAAAGAAAAACGCAAACTGGTGAGGAACAAGGACAAGGAGGAAAAAGTGCAACAATGAATGAATGGAAATCCAAGTTCTTTATAAACTTACAATAAAATCTCAAATAAAATAAATAAAAACACAGAGGGGAAAAAAACCAAAACAATGGGCTTGAGCATATCAAAAATTATGAAGATGGTAGAGGACAGGGCAAGGTTCAGATCTGTTGTTCATAAGGTTGCTAAGAGTCATAGTCCCCTCAAGAGTACCTAACAACATACAGACAAAAAACTATCACTAATGTTAATAAAGGGAGCTCTGGTGTCCTAGTTGTAAGAAACAGCCCTGCAATTCTAAAAGCAGTGGTTCGAATCCACCAGCTGCTCTGCAGAACAATGAGTACTCCCCTACTATATGACTTACTGCCTCTGAAAACCCGCTAGAGGGTCAGCTATGGGTCTGTTACAACTTGAAAGTACACACAGCAACAACAATATTAATAGACTTGGTCTATGTACTGCTGGAATAGTGGGTAAGGAGCTATGCTGTTAATTCAAAGGTGGAATCTCTGGTGGCTCCATGAGACAAAGATGGCAATCCTCTACTATGTGATTTAAAGCCTCCGTAAACTCATCTGAGGGTCAGCTATGATTCAGTTCCAACTCAAGGCAATGAAAGAGATAGAGATGTACTAAGCATATGACCATTTCTTCAATATTCTTAGACTTATCATTATATAGCTTAATTGTTAAGACTATTTCTAAAATTAGAAATTCAAAGAAAACTTTTGAATTTTACTTCTAATTTTATAACCTACTCTTAAAATGTCAAAAAGTTAAAGCTTTACTGTAATTAATCATGGTAATTCACTGATTCATTACCATCATGCTGGAACTGACACATAGCTCACCACCAACCCTACTCCTCAGCAGGTTTTCCAGGGGCTTTAAGTCTCACAGGAGGAGAACATCCTTCTTTCTTCCTCGGAAAAGCTTGTGGATTTGCTGATGGATTTGAACTGCCTGTCTCAGGGTTGGCAGTGCAAGTTCTTACCCACTATGCCATCAGAGCTCCCTTATCATGATAAATATGCACTTGTATTACAAGCCAGTCTCTAAAATAGCTATTATAAAGGAAATCTATACCACAAAAATTAATACCGTATTTTTGTTAATTGGAAAATTATTCCCATGAGTCTAAACTGACTTGAATTCCTTTTTTGTGCCAAGCATTATGCTGAATACTTTTCAGGATCCTCATTAAATCTTCAAACAAGTGTATAAGAAAAGGGCCATTATTATTTATTATCTATTATATATCCATTTCACAGATGAAAATACTGATTTTTGTAAGCTCACATCCTATTATGTAACAGAATCAGGGTTCCAAATAATGCTTCAGAAATTATATGCTTAACCACTATTTTCTATTGCTTCCAGGGAGATGGAGTCCAGAGTGGTGTAAGTCTAGATTATTTTAGAATGAAAAAATAATTTATTACAACCACAGAACTAAACACGTATTGGGTACTTAATATTTCACTGACTTTTAAAAAAAAAAAGTATAATGTGCAAGCAGTATTATGAAACTAAAATTTTTAATAAAGGTTTAACACCACCAAAAATATCTGAAATTGGAATAAAATACAAAAAAGTGAACTCTTTATTGAATAATATAAAAGAAACATAAAATTTCTTTATCATAATGAGAATAACTTTACTTTTTCACCTTAATATAAAAAACAGTCTAAGTCTACATCCATAACTGAGTTGGTATTACAGAATCATCCGCTAATTCTTTTAAAAAAGTTATTTTTAAATCATGCAAAGCAGCTTAATTAAAAAGACTTTAAATTGTCCAGTGGCTGTCATTATTTGAAGTGAATCTTTTTTCCTAAAATACACATCAAGTTTGCTTAAATTCTAAGTGTCAATTAAAACTGACAACAGGAATCTATAAACCAAGTGTTGCTTATTACTGTAATTGACCAGTTTAGCATGTTCGTTTCATCATCTCATTAGATATTTATAAATAAATATCTAAGCTTATCTACATATCTAAGATTACTTAAATGGAGTTCTCTCAACCTGGTGGTAAGGGGCTATGTTGTCAATCCAAACGCAAGCAATTGGAATTCACCAGTTATTCTGTGAGAGAAATAAGAGAAATCTCCTGGGATGAGATTTACTGCCTCTGAAAACCTGCTGGAGTATCAGCTGTGAGGTGGTTCTGATTTGATGGTACATAACAACAACAAAGTTCACTTATGAAAAGAAATGAGCAATGTCATTTGTCCCTTTTTATGGAGATTGTAAAAATTAATTTCCAGACAGAATATTATATTGGCCAACAAAAGTAGTGAAGAGAAGCACTGAAAAGTCAGAAGTACTGAACAGATGTTGTTCTACTTCAATATTGTACTTAGACTCTTAACTACAAAGGAAGACGACTAACAGCAATACACCGAGATTCTATCAAGTTAGACAGTGTTGAGTTTGTATTTTTAAATCCACCTGTAATTCACAGAACTGCATTACCAAATCTCTCTCACCATTTACATACGTGGTGATCCAAAGACTATGTGTCATTATACTTTCAGTGAACAAAACTGGGATTTGCTGAGCAACAAAAGCAAAACCTGTCCAATGCATTTTCAAATGATGTTAATCCAATGCTCAAATGCTTGTATTCAAAGCTTCTGGGCGCACATACACACAAACATGCACAAGTTAAGATAGTCAATGCCTTGGTAGCTGCAAACTCAGCTGAATTCTAGTACACACCACCTCAATTTGCAAGGGGAAAACCATTTCTAGTTCTCACTGAATACATATTTTCTCATGCTTCCCATCTTAAAAACTTTACATCTTTCCAGTTGAGCAATAGTCTATGTCAGGGAGTACACCTGTAAAGAAGATGGGTGATCAAATTAAACCCTGCACATGATACGTGAAACTTGAAAACTTTTTCAAGAACAAATCTTAGATATTACAAGGTGCGTTCCTCCCTTGATCTCCCCCAAAAAATATCTTTCCTGGAGCCCGTTTCCCGAGTTTCTGGGCAGCAGTTCTGACTTACTGGTTAGTTGGAGGAGCGGTAAGCGGGATGGCCACCTCTTCTTCCTCATATTCTGGCCCATCCAGGGAGTCACCTTCGTCCACTGTCCCCAGGCCCGCACCCAAAAGCGGGAGCTGAGGAGGGGGCGGCAGAGGGGGAAATCCACCGCCTGGCCCTAGGGTCTCAGCAGGCAATGAAGTGGTAACCTTGTTGAAAGCCATGTCCCCCCCAGGGCAGGGGGCAGCAGCACCAGCCACACCAGCAGTAGTACCTCCCCCTGTCAGTCCAGATCCCCCCAGTGCCCCCGCCACAGCTCCGGCTCCTAGGAACCCTGCCCCGAAGGAAGCTCCGCCGCCCAGAGTCGCGACCACTCCAGCCTCCGTCAGCCCGGGATAAGGGGTGGCTGCCACCGGCAGGGCCGCAGGTATCTTCACCCGACACACAGCCGGATAGGCACTTGAGCCTGCCGCCGCACCGCCTCCTCCTGCCCCGGCGGTCACCGGGCCGCCCTCCTCACTGCCGGCCTCGGCGGCCATCATGTTGAAGCCCGCTCTAGTCTGCCCTACCCTGCCCGCCCGGGAGCCCCCGGGGCCACCAGGCCCGGGCTCCGAATCGCCCCACCCAGCCGCGTTCCCCCTTCAGCTCCCCAGGCGGAGGAAACAACAACAAAAGGAGAGCCCGCCGCTGCGCCCCCTCCTCGGGCCACAGCCCAGGCTTTGGAGCGGCCCGGGTTACGGGAAGCGAGGTGGGGAAAAAAACCCTGCGCTTGCACAAACGCCACCCAAACCTTCACTTTACACACCCACACTCGCGCACACACATGCACAAAAGCCAAAAACTTCCTGACTGCACTAAGGAGGAAAGGAAGCACAGGGGAAGCTGCTGGGGCGACTGCCACTCCTCCAGGCACTAAAGCTGCCGCCACCACCTATTCTCCACCCGATTTCCAGCTACCCCAACTACAACCACCGCCAGTGCCGCTGCAGGGGCTGGGGCCACTGTAGCCGCATCATCCTTCACCAGGCTGGAGATGGGAGGGGTGAGGAGAGGAGGAAGAAGAGGGGCGGGGTGCTGGGGAAATAGACTGAACTGCTCACAACCTGGAGCCCTCAGTTAGTGAAACCGGAGAGAGAAAGGAAGGCGGGACAGGGGAGGAGGAACAGAGGGAAGGAAGGGCGGAGAAGGAGCGAGAGGGCACTCTTGCGCAGGCGTGTTCCTGCTGCGGGGGTGGGGGGGACTAGGCCTGGAGAGAGGAAAAGGAAGAGTCGGGAGGAAAGGAAGCAGCGCTGGCGCGTGGACGGGCTGTTACTCCAGCTCCTGTTCGCAGCGCGTGGCGGCGCGGCGGCTTCTCTCTGAGTAGCCAGCGGCGCCCTCCTGCCTCCTGCTCTTTGTCTGATGGGCGGGTGGCCTGCATGTGCTGCCTCCTGCCTACTGGAGATGCGACTCCCCGGGTCAGAGGAAATGGGGAGGAAGAGGCGAGTACCTGAGCACACAGTGAAATGGGAGAGATGAAGGAACTAGTAAAGAAAGAAGAAAGGTGCCGGGTGGTCAATTTGTTGACGCATACATCAAGAGGCCCAAGGCTCTTAAACCGGGTAGTTGAGGGTTAGATAAAAGGGGAGTTTGTTGCTGCTGCCAAGGCTCAAGATGTGCAGTCAAAATTTTCATTTCCACTACCTGCCATAAATCACAAGACGACTATTACCAACATATTTTTAAAATTCCTACATTATGGGCTGCCAAAGAAGAAAATAAAGGGCACAATATGAGAAGAGCAGGAACTTAGGTGGGAATAAATTTGCTTGTTTATGGAATTCTGGTGGCCTAGTGGTAAGAACGTGCACTGCAACCCCGATGCATGTGGTTCAAATCAGCCAGTCTCCCATGTGACTAACTGCTGAAAACTCGCTGGAGGGTCAGCTACGGGTCAGTTAGGACTTCACAACAATCAGTTTATACCATTATATACTTCATTTTGAACACATTTCTTTACCTGTCTCATTGTAAGTTACCTGAGTACAAAGGAAGGGACGTGGGAAGGAAGTACTACAGACAACACTATACTTTTCCTCTCACATGAACAAAACTATAGATAAGTATTCATGTGAATTGACAGAGCTCCTTCAACGAGGCAAAATGTCAAAGAGTTCCTAAAGCAAGTTACTTGTAACTTAAAAACATCAGTTAACAAATCAAATTTTGTTTTGCCTTTGTGCTCTAGTAGGTGTAAACTAGTGTATGTATTTATGTATTGTATGTATGTGATGCAATCATTCCCACTGTTTGAGATTCCAGTATTGATGTACTGACTGGGTTAGATATTGCCCACTCCAACCACCAGAAATCCTGATTCACCCAGAATCTGTGAATGTAATCTTATTTGAAAATTGAGACTTGAAGGTCTTAATAAGATGAAGTTCACTGAATTTGAGTGAGTCCTAAACCTCATATGACTGCTGTCCTAAGAAAAGAGTGAAATTTATATGTTGGCGATGTGACAATGGAAGCACATAGGATGATTTATGAACAAAATACTGTGAATGGCACAGAGTAGGTAGTGTTTCCTTTTCTTGTACATGGTGCTGCTATGAGTGTGATCAACTTAACAGTACATAAAATTTACTATCCCCTCATTACTGTGGAGTCAGAAGCTACTCAGCTCTCCTTGCATTGGGTTTCTTAGTAAATCACAAGAAAGTATACTATCTATCTTTCTCCCTAGGAGCCTTTGGTGGGTTTGAGCTGCCAGGTAGGCATGGCCTTTGGGTGATCAGTACAAATTCCTAAGGAATAGGCCACCACAACTCTCCACTACAAACCAAGGGACATCAAAGATTGCTAACAACCCCTGGATGTTAAGAGAGAATGCATGGCCTTGTGTGGTGTTAGCCTAGAAGTTGGCCTTTGGTTTCAAGCTACCTTCCTTAACTGCAGACACATGGTCTTGGAAAACATCACGGTCTTGCAAATTGTCAACAGCTTTGACATTAGGATAAGAGAAAGAATGCTTCCCACACTGGGTGGCAAGACTTGGGGGAGACTGAAACAAGACCATGGTAAGAGTGAGACCCTAGGGGTGAAACCCTGGTAATGGTGGTGGAGAGACTGTGTCATTGCTGTGGAGAAATTATAAGCAGAGAAACCCTAAGAAAAAAGCCACAGTTAAAAGCTTCTGTTGTTCTTGCTGGATCCTTGAAGGAGAGAGAAGCTGGCTTATAACTGCTCTGAGGCAAACCTTGTTGGATGATCTGGACTTGAATGTTGGACTGAAATCAGAGCCTAGATTAATGGAGGAATTGTGTATTAGAACTTGGGCTAAAACCTGGACCTGTATTTGTCTAATAAACCCCATTCTCAGTACCATAATTGTGAGTTAACGACCAATGAATGAACCTATTGCTATTTGTATGGCTCTAGAGGCACCACGGGCTGAAATAAGGGCTCTTTATCTGCTTTCTGCTCCAGCCCTTTCAGAGAGATGCTCATGGCCCTGTACCCCTATGTCCTCTTTTCTCCTCATTAGACACATTGCTAACATTTTCATTTCAAACTTCCAGCATCCTTACTAGGGAGCTCTGGTGAAAAGCTGCACTACTAACCCAAATACCACACTTGGCTAGCAGTTTGAGTCCACCAGAAGTTCCTCTCCTGTGATTTCACAGCCTGGGAAATCCAATGGAGGCTCAGCTGTGAGTTCTGACTCCATCATTTTGAATTGTGGATAACTTCCCCAAGCATTTAAAAGCCAATTAATGCAGTCTGACAGCAATTATATGCTTAGTTATCTTGCTTTCTAGTTCTTTTCAGCTTATTATACATTAGAATCAACATAAATGAGTCTGGTTTCCGTTTTATCTAGATTGTATGTATTTTCTGTAGTCTATTCCACTGCCTAGCCCCATGCTAGGAAATCGGTAGAAAAAAGAAAGTGCATCCTTACTACATTGCTTTGAAAAGGTCTCCACTCTTAATAAATAGTGATTTAGATCCACTCACATGTTTATAACATAATATCTTGATCAAAATTAAGGACCTAATATGTTTACTTGTAAATCAACCTAGCAATAAGTGTACCTAGTTTACATTTAATCTTAGAGTTAGCAGAGTTCTTCTCTTCCAAAAGATATTATCATATTTTTTGATGAGGCATCTTCCAGGTTTTTTTCTAAAGAATAATTATCAAATTATTCAGACCTTTGGACAAATCTAAGCTTGAATGTTTATAATTTCTTGCATACTTAATTTTTAAATAAAATATTTTTGGATTTTTTTTCCATTATTGCATTTTCTTCCCCCACCTTTTGCCTAACCCTCTCCACAATGTACCTCTTGTTCCAGATTATTGTCATACATATAATGCCTAATCATATATTCCTTTCAGACAGTTCTTCCTCTCAACTGTTCCAATATAGTGTTCATTATCTATCAACTCTTTTCCCTTTCTTTTCCCAGCCCTCTCATATCTGTCCCATTTTGTAACAGTGGTATAATGCAGTATTCTTTTGTGAGATATTTCACTCAGTATAATGTCCTCCAGGCTCCCCCATGTTGTATAATACTTTGCAAGTTCATTGTTATTTAGTGCTGCATAATTTCTATTGTGTGTATGTACTGTAGTTTTTCTAGCCATTTATTTGCTGATGGGCACTTGTGTTGCTTCCATCTCTTTGCGATTGTGAATAATGCAACAATAAACATGGGTGTGCATACCTCTGCATTGTGGCTCTAGTTACTTTAGAGTATATTCCCAGTCTGTAGTAGAATATCTGGGTCAAATGGTATGTCTACTTCCAATTTTTTGAGAAAACACCATATCACCTTCACAGTGGCTGTTGCTCTTTACATTTCCCCTAGCAGTGTATAAGATATAAGAGTTCCAAACTCTCCACAGCCTCGCCAGCATCTTTGCTATTGTTACTGGAGTGAAATGATATCTCCTGGTTGTGTTGGACATCTGTAATTTTAAATGTCTTTTTATTTTTCTTCTAAGAGCAGTGTTTCTACCTCTTGTTTTAGTCGGTTCCCTTTTTTCTTTTTTGCTCACCTTGCCCTTTTACCCTACTAGCTTCTATTTTGATGTGCTCTCTTTTTTCTCATTTATTTCTCAAGTTCCATTTCTGAGTCCCTTTCAGTTTTTCTAACTTCCTTAATTTCCTGGCATCAGTATATTTCTTACTGCTTTAGGAGTCAAAACTGAGAAATTATGAAATATGTATTTGGAAAGAGGCATCATAGGAATTCTGCAGGAACTAATGATAGTGTGGTCATGTAACATTATTTAACAAAGGGAAGTAAATAGTCTAATTAAATTCACAGATAATATTAAGCAGGGAAGTACTGAAAAAGAACAGTATACAAAGAAAATGGGGAAAAAAAATACCAAACAATATTTAACTGTGGCAATAGGAAGTCCAGTGAATACCACTATCATTCATATATATGCACCATCAACCAGAGCCAAAGAACAGGAAATAGAAGATTTCTACCAACTGTTACAGTTCAGAGATCGCTCGAATATGCAATCAAGATGTATTGATAA